CCCACCTCAGTCGGTCCCCACCTCAGTGCCGCCCCCTCCCCCAAAGCGCACACCGGAGCGGATGACAGCGGCGGACCTCGCCCCCACCCGGAGCCGGAGCCCGCCGCCGAGGGAGAGGCCAGGGGCCTCGGGAGGACGCGGGTCCGAGCCTCCTTACCCTAGCCCGGTACTTACCGCCTATTATTCGCTTGTTACTGCTGTGGACCGGGCAGCCGCCGCCTTCTCCTCCACCCCAATGAGGTTAGGCGCTTGGTGCGGGGATTAAAAAAGAGCTAGAAAAGCCGACGGCGCCTGCGCAGTGCAGTCTCCCTTTTTCCCCTTACCGCCACCAACCAGGGTAGACCATAGAGAGTGTAAACCGAGACCAGAGAGGTGGCTGCCTCTCTATGGTAATGCCCTGCGCAGGCGCCGACATGGCTGCGCTGGGCTTCGGGAGCTCAGGCCCCAAGAGCTTTTGCCCCACAGAGATTGTTAATTGACCCAGATGGCGACCCGTAGGGTAAAGATTCTTTCAGGAAAGGGTTAAATTGGGCCCCTGGAGAATTGGGCTGGACGGACATAGGATGTAAGCAAGACGGTGCTAGAAAACCGCTGGTGTGATAGGAAGAGCTAGAAAAGAGCCAGGAGTACGTGGTTAAAAGTCTTCCGGCTGGAACTTCCTTCGGCCAGGGGTCTAGCACCTGAAAGGAAACAATCTTTCACTTCTGGGTTACCAGCGCCCACTCTACTGGATGACTTCGATGACGGAAATTGTGCCTTGCGACTTCCCGTAGAAGACCGTATTTTCCTTTTGCTCTTGGAGCCGGCGCGGAGATGTGTCCCGGAAGCACAACTTTTTGTCAGTTCTTTCCCTTGAGGACGGAGTCCATCCCAGTGGGGACTTCAGGAACCCCGACTCGGCCAGCGAGATTTTGAGAGCGTCCATAAATGTTGCTGCTCTGCCCTTTCTCACGCGTTGCCTTCGGATGATTTGTGAAAAAGTGTTCTGGAGGGTAGAAAACTGCAAATTACACGGCTATCTTCAAGGATCCTGAGGGACCCGGCGTTTTGTCGCGTCAAGCCCCTGGCTCGTCGGTAGTTCGACTTGGAACGAATTTTTGTTAAGATTATACACTGCCTCGTGAAAATCACTTTAACAGTGTGGGTTGGCCAATGTTAAGTGAGATGTGCTAGACACAAGCTTAAATATCGCATGGTTTCGCGTATATGAGAAACCCAAAATATAAAGAGCAAATTAAGCATAGATAATAGAAAATAGATCTCTTTCAAAAGGGAAGGGAAACAACTGATGGAGGGGGGAGGGAATGAGGGGAGAGAATGGGGGTTAAAACTTGAGATGTGTACGTGAACCAGTTCTCCCAAGAGGAATGTGATCTTTATGTACTGCAACATGGTGCTCGCTTCAGCAGCACACATACACCAAAATTGTACGGCAAACATGTACTACTAAAAACATAAAAATTGAAAAAATAAATATACGATTTAAAGAAAAACACCAAACTGTTACTGCTGGTTAGTTCTCAAAGATAATTATGGGTGATCGTTATCTTTTTCTACGACTTCTGTTTCTCAGATGGTTACTCTTACAATCAGAAGCACAATAAATGTCTTTTAAAACTGGGTTGATTTGTGTGCACTCAGGTTTTATAGGGTATCCTCTGTGTGAAACTCCTGCTGCTGCAGTGTGTATGTGTTGTAGGAGGGGTACAGAACTGTGGGGTAATGTGCTCTCAGGGACTTAGGAATTGGGGTTCCAGAGGCTAAACTCAAAAACAGTAAAGCCATGCATAGGCCCTTCTGGGTAGTGCAGAAAAGGTAGAGAGTACTGGGGATTGAAAGAGACATGACATGGAAGATTGCTTGATCTAGAAAAGGTAACATCTCGGGGAGGAAAGAACAATTTTTTATAAGTAGATGGGTGATAATGAACGACCATTCCAGAGAAGAAACATCACAGGATAATAGTTCAGGAGAGACTAGGTAGTGTGCTGGTGGTACAGTGAGTGTGAAGAGGAATATATCTGAAGTGGGAAAAGGAAAAAAAAAAGTACTGTACAGAAGAGTGGAAAGTAAGATTTGGTAAGAAGAATGGACAATGTTTCTATTCAGTCAGTCTCTTTTGGGGGTGTAAGTCCAAACTCCTGTGAAGCTAGTACTAGTTAAATGACAAACTAAAGAATATAGTAAGTGCCTTACGAACAACCATTCGTACACTTAAAACTGTTGTGTGCCAAACACTTAGCAAAGCGGGAAAAAAAATCCCTATGACCTCACTGAGGAAATATTTTTTAAAGTAATGAGTAAAACATGTAACATGAAAGATAGGATGAGCATTGCAGGAGAAAATGATGCAAGAATAAGTGGTGCTGAGGTTGAGGAGAAAGACTTGTTTAGGAGGAGGAGGGTCGGGGAAGAAAATGATAAAAATTAAGATGTGTTATGTACATGTACTACTAATTCTCCACAAGGAAGGTAATCATTATGTACTGCAAACATTACCAATTTTAAAAATTGGTTCTTCAGAGAGACTTGTTTAAATACACCAGAAATACCCCACTGAAAAGCAAACTTTACAAAGAATGAAGAAGGTGAGAGACCAATTAATGTACCTTGTCAGGGAGAAAAAATACTAAGTGAAGAAACTGTTCTTTATAGGAGGGTAAAAGTAGGAAATGAGGTCGGAGACGAAACAGGATACCAAATTGTGTGGAAACTTCGCCTTTTACTGAATGAGATGGGAAGCTGTTCAAAGGCTTTGACTAGCAGCAAATTAACACAATTTGCCCTGATTTGGGGGGAGGGGGGTGCTAGGGATTGAACCCAGGCCCTCAACATGCTGAGCATGCATCTTCTTACTGAGCTACACCCTGAACCCCCAACTGAAATTTTTAAAGAATCGCTTTGTCTTGGGAAAAGCACGAGCACTGGGAGAGTAAAGTATCTGGATGTATTCAAACAAGATTGCATGCAGGATTTGATGGCAATTTTAACTGATAGGGGGTATGCGAAAATGAGGGGAGTCCAAGATGATGCCAACTTTTTTTTGCAATTTGAAGAATGGAGTTGCTATTTATTGAAACAGGAAAGACGGACAATTGGGGTTGAAGGGTTGGGGATGAAGATAAATTCAGTTCTGGATCTGTCAATTTGAGGTGCATATAAATTACCACATGCAAATACCAAGAAGGTAGTTAGAAATGGGAGTCTGTAATGCAGAAAAGTAGCCCAGGCTAGAGATGTAAATTTTGGAGACACCAGCCAATAGACAATATTTATAGTCAGGAGGTCATGTATATATTATGTGTAGAAGAAAAATTGGAAAAGTTATCTTAGCCAATAAAATAAGAATAAGAAATTCGGATGGTGGTAAAGGGAGGAGTGAGGAAGAACCACCATGTCAATTGCTGGTGGATATACTTGACCATTCTTATAACTGGAGTAGTGAAAAAAACCAGCTCGGAATGGGTTTTTGAAAAACTGGCAGGAACTAAAGTGAAAAGGAAAATAGGTCACTTGGAGGAGTCCATACAGGTAGGGAGCAGATATATGAACTGGGGATTGTTGGGGTCAAATAGTAGTCTTTAAATTGTTGCATCCACAAATATTTTAGTATTTCTAAATGATAGTTCTTTTTGCATAAATATAACCTCAGTACCACCATCACATCTTAAAAATTAATTCCACAACACCCCTCCCTTGGTTTCCCCCAGGGATTGTCTCCAGGGCCCCTTGGAGATAGCAAATTGCAAATACTCAAGCTCCTTAAATAAAGCAGCAGTATTACATATAACCTAAATGAGCCTCCTGTATACTTCACATCATCTACAGATTACTTATTTAGAGTACCTGATACAATGCAAGCGCTATGCAATCATTGTGACATGGTACTGTCTAGAGTATAATGGCAGGAAAAAATGCATGTGTACAATATGACAAAAAATGTGTATGTTTAATACAGACACTTTTTTGGTTTTTGGTTTTTGGTTTTTGTTTGGTAGTGCTGGAGAGTGAACCTAGGGCCTTCACATTGAGCCACATCCCTAGCACTTTTTTTTTATTTTTGAGATGTGGTCTCACTAAATACTAATTTTCTCAGGCTGTGCTTGAAGTATTGATCCTCCTGCCTCAGCAGGGCTGGAATTACTGGCATGTGCCACCATGCCTAGCCCAACACATTTCATTTTGGAATATTATCGATCTATGTTTGGTTGAATCCATAGATGTTAAATCTTTGAAAAGGGAGAAGCAACAATAGTCTGTCAATCTTCAAATTTCCTTGTCATTCTATTTTTTAATTTATTTTTATATTTATTTGTTTATTTATTTATTTATTTATTTACTGGGGATCCAACTCAGGTCATTGCACTTGCGAGGCAGGTGGCGGAACTTAATTGTTTCTTTGGAATATTATCGATCTATGTTTGGTTGAATCCATAGATGTTAAATCTTTGAAAAGGGAGAAGCAACAATAGTCTGTCAATCTTCAAATTTCCTTGTCATTCTATTTTTTAATTTATTTTTATATTTATTTGTTTATTTATTTATTTATTTATTGGTACTGGGGATCGAACTCAGGCCCTTGTGCTTGCAAGACAGGCGGTGAAACCACTGAGCTAAATCCCCAGCCATCCTATATTTTTTGACATCAGCTTGACTGAGATAAAATTCATATACTACACAATCTACCTGCTTAAAGGATATAATTTGTACTTTCAAAGAGTTGTATGATCATCACCACAGTTCATTTTAGAACATTTTCATCACCCTAAAAAGAAACTACTACAGATTTTGGGGGCAAGGATAATGTCAGTGTAAACTCCTAAGTTATAACAATGCACACACTGACAGAGGATGTTGGTCATGGAGGAGGCCATGCATGTAGTTGGGAAGCAAGAAGTACATGGGAAATTCCTGTAACTCTTGCACAATGTTGCTGTGAAACTAAACCTCTAAAAATGTTCTTCAAAAAAAGGAATGGAATTAAACTTTGATGTATTTTTAAAGACCAAAGAACTACATCCATTAGTAATCACTCTCCAGTCCTAGAAAACCCCTGATCTCCTTTTCTATCTCTGTGTGTCTGCCAACAGTACTTCGTTACTTTTTATTGTGAAATAAAATTGCATTTGATATTGAAAACCACACTATCTACTCATAGTTCATGAACACTAGCTTGTTTCTACTTTCTAACAATTGCAACTAAGGCCACTATGAATATTATATTACAAGATTTGTATAAATTTTTCAATTTTCTTGAACTTGTACTAAGGAATGAAATTGCTAGATCACATGATCACTGTGCTTAACCTTTTCAGAAATGACTTGACTGTTTTCCATTTTACATTCCCACCAGCTTATGTGAGGGTTCCAGTTTCTCCACATCATCACCCACATTTATGAATATCTCTTTATTATTATACCTATTGTACTTATTCTCAAATGGCATTTCACTATGAGTTT